CCCCCCACACACACACACGAGAAGCTCAGGAGCCCAGTCACGTAAGTTTATTCAGTATAGCTCTGTCTATGGCAACAGTTACACCAGGGTAAACAGCACAGATCACAGATAGATGACGTGTATGCAAGTGACAGTCAGGGGTGGGGGTACATCCTTAAGTGTCCATTATTTATCCAGTAAATCCTTTAATACAGTTTGATAAAACAATACAGTTTCAATTCACTGAGTTTGTGTTAGCACCGGATCAGTTTGTTCGTATCCAACTTTAACCCTCGCTGCCTCGCTCTACATTAAATCAGTAACTTCACAAACAAATGCTGGTTCTCCACCGGCACTGAGCAACAACTAAAGTGCAACAGAAATCTCCAAGCAACTGCTCTTCAACATAACCCCTTGATTTTAGACCAGTAATTTTACTTGAAGCAACAGTAGGATATCTTAGTAATGTACTTTACAGACATAGCATAGGACAGTGCTGTGTTCATTACACCAGGTGACACTCTCCTAAAACTGGTGGCATAGAATGCCAGAGTAATAGTGAACTGGTGAAATGGCAAACAGCTGGAAGACCATTTCTACAGGATATCTGCTTGTCTGGAAGAGGGGCACAAGGACTGGTCTCCCATAACACCTGCTCCCACTGAAAGAGGACGTGGTTGGTTTGTTGTTAAACTGGCGGCTGTGGGGTCAAAGTGCTTTGATACACAGCGATATCTGATTCGTACCACAGCTGGGCTGAAACCACTTCAGTTCATTAAAGGTATTACATATTCTCTTTCATCACAGGTTGAATCCAGCCGCCACATACCAAAATGTTTTTAGGTATACTACCTTCCGGTTCTTCAGCTAAATAAAGCCACAGATCTTCTTACAATGGGCCAGAAATTCTAACTTCATACTTGAGAAAACAATCACTATTACAAGTCTTGATGTAATTATGAAACAGTTTAGCTTGTGGTTTGTTAATGTATATGTTTTGGGATAATGGTTTAGTAGCAGGAAAAGAAACGTGCAGTAACTGCCTGCTCTTAAGTTTCGTTCTGTTGTGTTTTATGAGCAAGTCCCCTCGATATTAGTACAGACCAGCAGTGTGACCAAAGCAGTTTCTGAGTAGGAGCTCTATCAGCTCTGTTGCTGCATATGAGGAAGAGGGTAAGTAAAAGGCTTCTATGGAAATTAACAGTTCATTTCAGGTTTCAGGGGAAAATATTTGGGTGAGAAAGCATGAACTCAAAAAAAAAAAAGCATTACTGAGAGCTGTTAAACTGAACCAGAAGTAAAGTCAAAATAATGTCTAATTCATACATGGAAACTGTGAACATCACAGGAAGTGATGTTCACAGGTGACTTAGTATAATGAGACAGAACCTGGGGATTTAGTTTCGTTGACCTGCCTCTTCAGCCCGGAGGACTATGAGTTTCTAAGCTACAGCAGAGAGCACGACTTCAGGGGACAGGCTCTATTCTGAGGTCACCTGGAGGTCATAGAGGACCTCCAGCACAGTGGCCAGTGACCACGCCTGGGTCTCACAGCTGAATGAGCAGTACTGGCCATTCTCATTGGTCAGTTCTGGCAGGCCCTTCCATGGAGACCTGAAACAGAAGAGGACTGGTTGAGACTTGTGACAGAAAGCAAAAACAATATACAAAGCAATACGAGGCAGGGAGGAGGAGGTCCTACCTCTCCAGGTGGGTGTAATGTCGGGACAGAACATTTTTGACCAGGGTCATTGTTTTGGCATAGGCCTCCTCTCCCAGCTTCTTAGCAAAGTAGAGTTTAGCACGCAGGAAGTAGCCTACTGGCCACAGCCACTCCTACACACACACACACACACAGTTAGTTACAGTTTGACTATGTGTTAGATAATGCAAAGTGAAGAAAGAGCTGCAGAAACAGAAGCCATGACATCATGACTACCCCTCCCCATCTAATCTGCAATCTGACGATTTCTTTCCAAATTATCATTTACATTGGTCACTGTCTCCTGGAAACTGTCTGTGCAGGTGCACACAAAGAGTGGAAGAATCCACCTCTCAAATGGCTCAGCAAGTGAACTTTGGACAGGAGACTTCATGACGTGTCCTGCAGGATCATTAAACCACATGACACTAGGGCTCCATAGCAGCCAAGACTGCTCCGACTCACCGGGCCTTGGTGGTAGTTGAAACCTTTAGCCAGGTTGTAGTTGTCGTTGTCCAGTGAGTTGTCATAGACCCCACAGTACACCATGTCACTAGGACAACACAATGACAATCATAAATACAACAGTTAGAAGCAGAGGGACACGGCTTCTTATGTGGTTACTTCCACTGCTACAACTACTACCTTGTCATAAGAATGCAAGTGAAGTTGTCAAGTTTATTTAGCTAGCACATTTTGAAACATGCTGTAGACCTATTTGATTTACAGACAGGTGAAGTTATTAGATAACACAATCAAATAAAAACAGGAAAGTAGAACAAGACATAAATATGAAGAGGTATTACTCTGGGTCAAGAGTTTTCATTCCCAGTGGTCCCAGTAGTTTTTTCTCAGCCACCTCCAAAGCCTGCCAGGCTCTCTTTACTGTGAACAGCTCTGGAGCCTTTAAAAACAGAGATAATGTCGACCAGCTCAGCAGCCTCATCACTGAGTAGACTAAAGATCCAGTCAAATAAGGGAAACTACTTATTTACAGTAGAACCTAACTTCTATTCATACCATATTAAAGATCAAACCAAAATGGAAACTTTCGACCTACCACCACCATGGCAATAGTGAAGTTGGGTCTCAGCTGATAGTCACACCAGGGGCTGGAGGCTCCATAGCTGTCTTTATAGACTCCCTTTTTGTGCACCAGATCAGGGTGCTTCTCATTGGGGTCCTCTGGGTCCCCAGACACCCAGAAACCTGCTTCAAATGACTGTTGGAGCTGCTGGTTCCACTGGGAGTAGGAGATAAACTGCTTTTTACCTGGAACACAGTGGAAACATTTTCTTATGGACAGCTGCTATAAATCAGAGTGAATGCAGAAGACCTACTTTTCCTCTAAAAATGCTAGTAATCTCAAAGTTTGTTATTTTGTGTGCATGTGTACCATCTCTGTGAACTTTAGCTCCATCATAAGGGAACAGTCCTTTGGCATGGAGGTCCACAACCCAGCGAACAGCTGACTTACTGAGACCAACTATCTCCACTGCCGCTCCATCTCTGGACAGTCAGTCATACAGAAAACAAAATCAGGCTGCAGCCAACTGTTATTTTCATGATTGATGAACCCAATTAGCTTTCATTTATTTCATTTATTTGAAGAGTAAAGAAAGCTGAATGTCATGTATAAAATATCAGAAAAACACTGAAAAATGTGTCCCAGACAAATCTGACTGCTTCAACAAATAATGGAAAACTCAATGTTATCCACTGACAATGATGTAAAACAGAAAGGTCTTACGTTTAGGAACCTGTTTTCCTATATGCACAACTCATGTCAGAACGAAATTAAATCCATTAAATCTAAATCTGACAACATGACTGCTTCTGTTTGGCTTCCCTAAAACCTGCAAGGAAACTGTTAGTGACAGCTGTTAAAAAGGGCGAGAGGTAATGTGTGTGTGTGTGTGTGTGTGTATTACCCAGGAGTTGCGGGCATGCCTTTGTTCCTTGCTCTCTCACTCTCTCCCATTTTGTCCATCCATGTGCCGCAGTTAAAGCGGTTCCCTCCAGTGACAAAGCCTGTTGCTGGGTCCACCTTAGCAACCACACTGAACCCTGAAGAAGAGGGAACGATTTCAGAACTACTAGTGCTGCTATTAAGGGTCGGTGTGGGAAGCTGTAGGTGAGGACATTTCACACCTACAGAGATTTCTGAAACAAGACACTCGTGCTGCCGTATCAGTAAAAGCATTATTTTCTTACATCGGGAGACCTCTGTGGATTTTTCTATTACACAGTACTGAAGATGTACAGTGAGTCTGTCTCTCTCTCTCACACACACACGCAGTGTTTTCATTTCTTGTGGGGACTTTACATTGACTTACATTCATTTCCTGTAGATGTATCCTAACCTTAACCATAACCACTACTTTCCCAACACCTAACACCTAAACCATGTTGCCATCCTAAAATTCAGTGAAAATCCAGAAGCCCCATAAGGATGGCCGAGTCCCCAGAGTGCGAGTGTGTTAACAGGTTTCGGTCCTCACACACACACACCCTGTCTTACCTTCATCTCTCATGTTCATGTCTATCTTGGGCCCAGCATTTCTCTCTCTGAAGGAAATCCCCTCGAGGTGTCGTTGCAGAGCCTCCTGGATCACATCATACAGAGGCTGCTCCTACAAACACACGCAAGCAAAGAAGAATATACTGATCATCTGAATACACGTTTGAGCACCCCTGAATGAAACTAGTGTTTAAAAGCCCTATGTGTGAAATCTGAAAATGTTGGCAGCTGCTGGCGGTAGTGTCAAAAAAGACACCACGGCAGAGACCAGAGCACATCACTAACCTGCATGTGTGTACAGCGTTGTGCAAGGTCACACTTAACAAGTCCAAAGTTCAGTTCACACATTAAAATGACCTACAGTAGTTCATGTTCACAGTTTTTAATTCGGAACCAAGGTTCGTGTTCACAGTTTTTAATTCGGAACCAAGTTCACAGCCCCAAAAACTGAACTAATTCACATTCATTTCTTCCACTTTTATTTCTAGACAAGCTGCTCTGAGCAGGAGAAAACATTTGTTAATAGGATCCATCCCCAGCCCCCAGTCACTGGTATACTTTTACATTCAAAAGTTCAGTGGTGGAAAGGAACTAAGTTACTTAGTATGTTTACTTCAGTGTGTGAGGTGTGTGTGCCGTGTTTTATAGCACCGGAGATTCTGATCATGGATTGTCGTTCCAGGATCATTAAACCACATGACACTAGGGCTCCATAACCAGGGGTTTGTTTGGCGCCAAACAATTTTCAACAATTGCTGTTAAATCAGTGGTTAAAAGATCATCCACTGCTGTTAAATCAGTGGTTAAAAGATCATACCAAAGAAAAGAAGGACACTGGCAGGTTCTGCCATTTTGTAGTAAAAGTCACATGCACATATTTGACTGTAACGTCCAAAGTTATATCAGACAAATCAGAGTAAACTTATCCAGTTTTCTCTCATGGGGAAACGAGTCAGGCTCAACAACATGTAAACACACCAGTCACCCGTCCACAGCTGCTGCTGGGCCAGGTATCATATACGGCATCATGACTGACAGCTACCAACACTTAGCTGTAGCATGCAGCCTGCCACATGTTAACAGCAGCAGCCATAACCACGGCCACACGGTCAGGCCTGTCCTACTGTAAACCAGATGATTTTCACTCCTCTCCTTCTGTGCAACAACATCCATGTTACTAAATTCAAGGCGGATCATTGTCTCTATGACACACCTGATGTTCCTTTGTTGTCAGACTCTGGTCATTCTGCATGTATGCTATCATCCATGTATGCTATTTTAAAATTCACTAGGTCAGAAAAGTAAGTCGGCATACCCTGAACTGAAACCAGCTTACCGGTGGTTCACTGTCTCCTCTGAGCGTTTTAGTCAAACACTGGGAGCCCGTTGGCTTGTAGTCCACTCCAGCTTAAAGTTCAATAGGTGGTGTGACTTACATAGCTGTCACGGGAAATGTGATCACTTTGACACTGACGTTAGAGAAAGAAAATACTACTTCAAGTTTGACTGGACGACTTCCTTCTTCAGTTCACAAAATAATTGCAACATTAGATATCAAGTGAACAAAGTCTCTGTCGCTCTCATTCACCACCCTGCATGGTAATGACGCTCACGTTCCAGACTAGATCAAAGCTCACTGAAAAATGAGCGTGTTCAACGGACAGTGCTCTTTTTGTGTGTTCATGCACAACACTGTGCATGTGAAGATGTGCTTGCATGTACATACCACCTCTCCGGGTTTGCAGGGTTCACAGTCATCAGTAGGGTACATGCGTGTAACTGGGCAGCGGAGGATTTCATGTCCTTGGGGAACTTGGGCAGTGTAGTCCTGAACAAAAGCACAGAGCAAATGCAGAACCAATAATACAGAGAAGTGTAATGTGACTTTAAAAACATAACTCTATATTTATTTTAATAATTATATCTATAAAACTTGTTAATGAAGAAACCGGAAAGCACAAACACCATGATGTACAGTATGTGAAACCAACTGCTGAAAAAAGTGAATGAATTTTATACCATGAAAAAACTGTATATGAAATGTACCTTATAAGTCTAATATAACGGAGACAAAGGTACCCTGAATACAACTTTGTGTCGCTCATCAACAGTCCGTTAACATGTCAAACCCAACCCTAACAACATCCTGTGGGTACAGCAAGCTCCTGCCCTCACCAGACAGTCTACTCAAGGAAGAAACCAGAAAGCACAAACACCATGATGTACAGTATGTGAAACCAACTGCTGAAAAAAGTGAATGAATTTTATACCATGAAAAAACTGTATATGAAATGTACCTTATAAGTCTAATATAACAGAGACAAAGGTACCCTGAATACAACTTTGTGTCGCTCATCAACAGTCCGTTAACATGTCAAACCCAACCCTAACAACATCCTGTGGGTACAGCAAGCTCCTGCCCTCACCAGACAGTCTACTCAAGGGCCCTTATGGAGCTCACATTCTTTAAATGTGGCCATTTTACCACTTGAACACAATTAAAAAAAACTATCAAAATTAGGCAAATGCTACTGGAGAACACATTTAGCAATAAAAACCCCTTAAGAGAAAAATTTAGGATGTGTTTGCTCTGTGATATTTGTTTGGTGACCAACAACTAAAAACTGACCAAGTGATAACAAGCTTTCATTCACCGGACACAGTGAGTGTATGGAGGCTTCAGTGGAAGATACTGTTCATTTGTTCTGCCTCAGGGATGCAAGAAGCTGTACTATCGGTGGGGTTTCTGTGGCAGACTTTAGTGGAATGCATCCTTTTTGGTGCATCATGTAATTATTTCAACTCTGTGGCAAAGGGGGACTAAGGTCTAAGGTTTCTTCCTCTCACACCCATTTTATAGTGTGTGTGTCTGCCCACCTGGATGCACTGCAGCCACCACCACACAGCATCACGGCAGTTGTATCTGGCACAGCGGCCCTCACCCAGCAGGTTGGGGATTAAACCGTGACGCAATGTCCCGGCAAAGGCCAGGATGATGTTACTATGGAGACCATGAGAAGAAGCTGTTAATTTTAGAGTTTGGTTACTTAACACTTTGGACAAAATTTAAAAGACCACCCGAAAGTGTGATTTTTAATGAAAGTCACAATTACCAAAATACTCGGGGTGTTATCAGAATACACATACCGAGCCTCAGTGTGTCTCCCAGTGAGCAGCATCAGTCCTCTGAGAGCGATAAAAGTGTCTCTGCCCCAGCAACGGAAAATCCCAGAGGAGAAATGAGGAAGCCCTGAAAAAAAATCACATTCCGTCAGTTAAAACAGCATCTTTCTACGCTAAATATTTAATTTCATCTTTATCACAGCGAGCTCTTCATTTAATTGAAACATTCATTAAAACAGTTCCAGATTTTTCAGTTTAAAGTTCAGTTTTTTTACTTAGTCGTATTTTTAACCACACAAACCACATTAAGTGTCTGCTGCTGGGCTACCTGCAGCCAATGACACACAGCGCTGCTCCTTCAGGCCTGTGACTGGACTGATGCGGTAGGGAACATCCTCTAATTTCATGGAGAGAGGAGGAAGGGCGGGGAAGCGTCCAACTCCACACATCTGAACTGAGCCCAGCGCCAGGTGACGAACAAAGGTGGAGCCATTCTGGACGAAACTGTTTGGGCAAAGATATAAAAAGTTGGCAGCGTCAAATGTGCTTGTCCATAATTTCATGCAATTAGATGTAAGGAGAACACAATTCCCATCACCGAGCCTACCTCGACATGAGTCTGTAAGTCGCATCCAGTGCTGTGGTGTAAACTGAGACGAGGATGGCGTCAAAGTAACAGGGAATGAGGTACCGTGGGATGTGTTTCAGGTAGTTAAACATGGCTGCCAACCACTGACCCACCTGCAGACACACATTAACTCGAATATTGTTTCTGGAAAGACACATGCTGTCACCTTTTTAAAGTCATATTTTTTACATTTAGCACCACATAGAAACTGTCAGTCCTTACTGTACTGGGCAAAACATTAAATTATCTGCACTGCTCGAGACTATGGCTAAATTTCTTGTGACGGTGATGATCTTTAAGGCCAGAGACACACCAAGCTAGCGTGAAAGAACTAGCAGCAACGAGAGCTGACCTCGTCGCCTTCATGACGCGTCGCCTCAGTCTAGGCCAGCCAAGCTGAAAAAGTGACCCCTGAACACAGCGCACAATGCCAGTTGTGCAGGACACACAGGGAGGATGAGTCCTGATGGATGGTGGCCGACGGCTTGGTGTGTCTCAGCCCTAAGGCTGTGAAATCCTCACCTGTGCCAGTGGTCCCTCTTTGTGTGTCAGTCTGTTAGACACAAAGTCTATCATCCAGTCTCCTTGTCTCAGGTTAGCACACACAGGATGGCCCAAGTCATTGTTAGGACGGATATCAGCTAACACTGACATCAGACCTGCACCAAGACAACAACAAGTACATTTACACACCTGAAAGTGAGAAACACTGCAATCACTCAGTGTGAAAACGAACCAGGCCAAGACTGTATACTGTGATTTATATTCCGCATGTTAAAATCTTCATTTCTCAGCTGGTATTTGTGCATTATTATAAGGTACCTTGTGTGTGTGTGTTCGCAGAAAGCTAAAATCATTACAGGCATTTAATGTTTCCTATCTGACCACGACAAAACCACGCAGGGCATTTTAATGTTCTGGTTATAGCACATGCTCATTCTTGGTAGCAATTACAGTTCTGGTATTCTACCTTGTAGTCCAGCATATTTGAGGCTCTCCCATCCTGGGATATTGTAACAACCTCCACCATCTTCTCGCTCTTCTGAGTCACAGCGAAACAGCAGGATATTCAGGTCTGCTAATGTCAGCTTGGACATCAGCCTGTGAAACACACACAACTTATGGATAACATTTCACATGTGCAGCTTAACCAAAAGAAATACTGTGGCATTACTCCACACTGTCTGACAGTATGACGTACTGTACGTTCTGCATGCACAGTGCATGCACCCGAGAACACAGGTTGGATACACTGTGCATATACATACATTTCATGTGTAGCCAGTAATTCCCTCATCGTGTACTATTTGTCAGACATTTGGATGTAGTTTCCCTTCTCCAAGGTGTTCCTGTTCTCTGTGAGACGTTTGTACAACAAGCGCATACAATGTGCAAGTGAACGCACCCAGTGTAGATATGAGAACGAGTCTCGCTCGAGGTGCATGTTACGCGTTTAGTCGGTGCAACTACATGCACGGTGTAGATTGTCATGCCTCTAAATCTGATCTGCTTACATTACCCACAATGCAAATCAGTACAATCAGAGATGCCTCTGCATTATGTAGCTGCTAACCTCAGGCAGAGCAGCTACAGAGATCTGGTAAGCATGCTTCTTTACAACTTCACACCCTCAGATTTCTTTCATATTCAAACTTGTGTCGAAGGCCAGTGTGGACACAAGTGAGGCAGTTTACCAGCCTTCACACAGCTCCCTCTAGAAACACTAAAGGCTTTGTGCAGCTTCTTGCCACATGTGCAGTAGTACTTCCCGAGACATGTAAATAGAATCTGATGTGTGAAATTGGGGGACTTCCATTATATCCACACAACAAACAGAGTCGGGTTTCTTAAAGCAGGGGAGAAAGTGAGCCTCCTCTCAGAGGAGATCATGAAAACAGGTCACTGTTGGTGTAGCCTACTGTACGTCCCACTCAGCTTTAAAAATGGCTTTCAACAATAAATATAAACATCTTTTAAGCAAACACTTTGACGCAATTCTACTCTCAAGGACTATTACACATTGATTTCTTTAAAAAGAAAAAAATCTCTGTGGGCTACTCTTAAAATTATTTACCAGTTAACCCTCCACAGTCCGTCACAAAGTGAAACACTAGCCTTATTAAAACAGCCTGTGGTAAGGCCTATTTGTGCAGTTCTACTTAAGTCAGTGCATGAACACGTCAAACTCAGTTGACCAAATCATCACTGCGCACCATGCACAGCACTGCTTTTCATGTCACTGTCTCCATATTGTGCCCATTCAATATACCTGCCTTAGCTGTGTGTACACACAACATGATGTCTCGGTCGACTTGGCATTCACAGTGCTAATGTCTCAGTTACTTTCCTCTGTGACTGCAGTTCCACTAGCTTCCTATCAACAAACCCCCGTGCCTTGATTCTAATATGACACCAGAGTTTACATGGCCTCGTTCTTTCATTAGCGAGCACCACTTTGCAAATAACACACAGTGGAGCAACATCAGGGCCAGTCCATGAAAATCCAAACTTTAATCACCGTCATACCTCCTCCATTTTCTGCTCACCTCAGTCTCCTCTGTTGCTGTAGGCTCTACACATTGATCCATTGTGCCCCACACATAGCCGAGCTGAAGTTTGACATTTACAGTTAGTTTTCCTGTTTTATTTTTGCCTCATGCTGAACCTTCCCTAAAGTCCTCTGCCGCCCCCCAGGGGAGGCACGCCTCACAGAGCAGAGCATTAATGAAACGTATACTGTACATGTGTACTCACTGTGCCAGTGGCTTCAGCAGTATTTCTGGTGGGTTTTCATCTGGAGCGCTGCCTCTCCTGTACTTTGGGCTGAACTGGGACAGAAAATGTCTCAGGACCCCGACTAACTTCTGGGCCTTGGGGTCCAAACTAACCCTGTGAGGAGGAAAGGATGTGACAGGAAACTGTTATGATGAAGAACTAATAATAATCACCTTTATTGGCCAAGTATGTTACACACAAGGAATTTGTTTCCAGTACAGAACCGATGGCAGCCATCTGCAGCGCCAACTCACACCGATGGCTCTAACCATCAGGGGCAATTTGGGGGTTCAGTGTCTTGCCCAAGGACACTTCGACACGTGGACTGTAGGCACCATGATTTGAACCTTCAACCTTCCGGTTGGGAGGCGACCGCTCTACCCACTGAACCACAGTCGCCCTACTAAGAATGTATGCTAATCCTAATGCTAATAAATTAGCTTGTGATAAGCAGTGGATGAAACAATGATACAAATTACACTGACTTCTTTTTTATATTGCAGCTTGGTGCTGGCCTGTGTGCGCATGTTTTACCTGAAGGCAATGACGCTGCCAGGTGTCAACTTCTGAAAGGTGATTTCTTGCACAAACTCCGATCGACCTTTAGATGTCACTCCAGCTTGTTTCACCACTGTACTCTCCTGTAACTATATATTTATATTCTAATTACTTGATTAATATGTTTATTTTTTTCAATGATACACAGGATTATAATGACCCTAAAAACGATGGCAGTGATATTTACTGGTATATGCTCTTTTATTTCCACAGTATATTCTGGCATGCCGTTGATGTAGTTGTCATCCTTCTTATAACCCCCAGCATTCCTTTCCACTGTCCTTGCCTCCAGTACCACTTCCTCTATCTTCCCTGGAGAGAGAAGACAAAGGAAGACAGACAAATATTCTCAGCACTGGGGCAACCTTGTTGGGAAACCTGGTTAAGTCTTGCAAGTGTAGAAGTGTAAAAAAACATGAATCCTACAAAGATAATATTACTAAAAAATATGTTTGATTTCTAACATAAATGTGATAATGTTATTGTCATACCAGGTATGAACATGGGAGGGACGTTTGCGTTGTACTTGTGGGTTTTGGGGTTCCAGAAGGCTGTCCTGCACACTGCCACCACAGACTGGTGGGTGTTGGGACAGTGACGAGTAATTGCCACAATATCTGCATCAACCTGGTCGACATACACCTGTAGTACAGAAACACAATTAGTATGCAACAAAAACTTTATAATCAATCACAGTGCCTTCTGCTTTATATTAAAACCCATAAACAAAAAGTGGAATTGCCTGAAACCACTTTTACTTGTGAACATACAGCACACTGTGGCTCTATACCTGTATGAATCCTTGTGCAGCCAGTTCCTGGTGCAGCTTGTTGAGTGCCAGCTTCCCAGCTATGATGCCAGTTTGAAATCCAACCTCACCAGGGGAGGTGGGGAGTGCCTCCGGGTTCCACTTGGGGTATAAACGCTCCTCCTTCACCACAGAGATCTATAGACACACCCACACACGCCAATCACTGTCAAGATTTTCAGGCAATCAACTAATTCTACTCTATGTATTTTTGTGGGATTGGCTCCAGCTCCCTGCAACACTCAAGGATACGTGATATCTAATGATGGGATTGATTGGAAAAATAATATACAGCTCATACACAGTAGTTCTGTGTGTATAGCATACACCATATTTTGGTACTACTTTATCATATTTTACTTATAAAAATAGCTACAAAGGAAGAGTGCACAGAACCCGTTGTGGCCCAGCTCTCCCACAGTTAGTGCTGGGGAATCACTGCTTTTGGAGTTCAGTTCAAATTAATTTAGCTTTAGAAAATAACTAGTTTTAAATCTTCAGCGAGCAGAAGACCACAGACCACAAACAAGTCTGAAAATAACAGTCTGAGACAAATCATCTGAACCTTTGCACAGACCAAATGGTGATTTTGTACATTTGCAATAAACTATCCAATACTGGGAATTTTATCTTTGAAAGAGCGACAATAAAGCATAATTATACTGTTGAGCCAAAATTACATCAGATGGAAATAACAGCTTGTGTGTGTGTGTTTGTGAGTAACCTGGTGTGGCACTAATTCATCATATCCTCTGGTGGAGCCAGTAGCACAGCAGGCCATGGAGACAATAGCAGAGCTGGGCAGAGAGTCCAGCGCTGACCTCAGCTACAAAGACAGGGTCCAACACAAAAGTGTTATGTCTCTAACACCTTGTCACATTTCTTTTTGATCATAGAGAAAGGAGCAACAGATTGAAGACTATTATTAATTAAGAGTTTTGTACATTTAAAACATTGAGAATTTAAACGAGCTTGGGAAAAACCACAATAATCACACTAAGGGAAACACATCTACTGCCATTTTTTGTTTTACAAATGGCCAAATAATATAATTCATAATTATGAGGTAATGCATATGAAAACATCTAGTTATCAGCATCATGAGTTACTCAACACCATCCTAACCCGACTGAAGACCCACCTGTATGGGACACTCGTTGTCATGGGTTACATCGAGGAACATGGCATGGGCAATGGAGGGCATCAGCGGACGCAGACTGGGCTGAACAAAGGCTCCCACTGGCTCACCGTCATACCTCCTCCATTTTCTGCTCACCTCAGTCTCCTCTGTTGCTGTAGGCTCTACACATTGATCCATTGTGCCCCACACATAGCCGAGCTGAAGTTTGACATTTACAGTTAGTTTTCCTGTTTTATTTTTGCCTCATGCTGAACCTTCCCTAAAGTCCTCTGCCGCCCCCCAGGGGAGGCACGCCTCACAGAGCAGAGCATTAATGAAACGTATACTGTACATGTGTACTCACTGTGCCAGTGGCTTCAGCAGTATTTCTGGTGGGTTTTCATCTGGAGCGCTGCCTCTCCTGTACTTTGGGCTGAACTGGGACAGAAAATGTCTCAGGACCCCGACTAACTTCTGGGCCTTGGGGTCCAAACTAACCCTGTGAGGAGGAAAGGATGTGACAGGAAACTGTTATGATGAAGAACTAATAATAATCACCTTTATTGGCCAAGTATTTTACACACAAGGAATTTGTTTCCAGTACAGAACCGATGGCAGCCATCTGCAGCGCCAACTCACACCGATGGCTCTAACCATCAGGGGCAATTTGGGGGTTCAGTGTCTTGCCCAAGGACACTTTGACACGTGGACTGCAGGCACCATGATTTGAACCTTCAACCTTCTGGTTGGGAGGCGACCGCTCTACCCACTGAACCACAGTCGCCCTACTAAGAATGTATGCTAATCCTAATGCTAATAAATTAGCTTGTGATAAGCAGTGGATGAAACAATGATACAAATTACACTGACTTCTTTTTTATATTGCAGCTTGGTGCTGGCCTGTGTGCGCATGTTTTACCTGAAGGCAATGACGCTGCCAGGTGTCAACTTCTGAAAGGTGATTTCTTGCACAAACTCCGATCGACCTTTAGATGTCACTCCAGCTTGTTTCACCACTGTACTCTCCTGTAACTATATATTTATATTCTAATTACTTGATTAATATGTTTATTTTTTTCAATGATACACAGGATTATAATGACCCTAAAAACGATGGCAGTGATATTTACTGGTATATGCTCTTTTATTTCCACAGTATATTCTGGCATGCCGTTGATGTAGTTGTCATCCTTCTTATAACCCCCAGCATTCCTTTCCACTGTCCTTGCCTCCAGTACCACTTCCTCTATCTTCCCTGGAGAGAGAAGACAAAGGAAGACAGACAAATATTCTCAGCACTGGGGCAACCTTGTTGGGAAACCTGGTTAAGTCTTGCAAGTGTAGAAGTGTAAAAAAACATGAATCCTACAAAGATAATATTACTAAAAAATATGTTTGATTTCTAACATAAATGTGATAATGTTATTGTCATACCAGGTATGAACATGGGAGGGACGTTTGCGTTGTACTTGTGGGTTTTGGGGTTCCAGAAGGCTGTCCTGCACACTGCCACCACAGACTGGTGGGTGTTGGGACAGTGACGAGTAATTGCCACAATATCTGCATCAACCTGGTCGACATACACCTGACAGGAGAGATGCGCAGAGATAAACTTGGACAAGCTAGGAAATGTAGTACAGAAACACAATTAGTATGCAACAAAAACTTTATAATCAATCACAGTGCCTTCTGCTTTATATTAAAACCCATAAACAAAAAGTGGAATTGCCTGAAACCACTTTTACTTGTGAACATACAGCACACTGTGGCTCTATACCTGTATGAATCCTTGTGCAGCCAGTTCCTGGTGCAGCTTGTTGAGTGCCAGCTTCCCAGCTATGATGCCAGTTTGAAATCCAACCTCACCAGGGGAGGTGGGGAGTGCCTCCGGGTTCCACTTGGGGTATAAACGCTCCTCCTTCACCACAGAGATCTATAGACACACCCACACACGCCAATCACTGTCAAGATTTTCAGGCAATCAACTAATTCTACTCTATGTATTTTTGTGGGATTGGCTCCAGCTCCCTGCAACACTCAAGGATACGTGATATCTAATGATGGGATTGATTGGAAAAATAATATACAGCTCATACACAGTAGTTCTGTGTGTATAGCATACACCATATTTTGGTACTACTTTATCATATTTTACTTATAAAAATAGCTACAAAGGAAGAGTGCACAGAACCCGTTGTGGCCCAGCTCTCCCACAGTTAGTGCTGGGGAATCACTGCTTTTGGAGTTCAGTTCAAATTAATTTAGCTTTAGAAAATAACTAGTTTTAAATCTTCAGCAGCAGAAGACCACAGACCACAAACAAGTCTGAAAATAACAGTCTGAGACAAATCATCTGAACCTTTGCACAGACCAAATGGTGATTTTGTACATTTGCAATAAACTATCCAATACTGGGAATTTTATCTTTGAAAGAGCTACAATAAAGCATAATTATACTGTTGAGCCAAAATTACATCAGATGGAAATAACAGCTTGTGTGTGTGTGTTTGTGAGTAACCTGGTGTGGCACTAATTCATCATATCCTCTGGTGGAGCCAGTAGCACAGCAGGCCATGGAGACAATAGCAGAGCTGGGCAGAGAGTCCAGCGCTGACCTCAGCTACAAAGACAGGGTCCAACACAAAAGTGTTATGTCTCTAACACCTTGTCACATTTCTTTTTGATCATAGAGAAAGGAGCAACAGATTGAAGACTATTATTAATTAAGAGTTTTGTACATTTAAAACATTGAGAATTTAAACGAGCTTGGGAAAAACCACAATAATCACACTAAGGGAAACACATCTACTGCCATTTTTTGTTTTACAAATGGCCAAATAATATAATTCATAATTATGAGGTAATGCATATGAAAACATCTAGTTATCAGCATCATGAGTTACTCAACACCATCCTAACCCGACTGAAGACCCACCTGTATGGGACACTCGTTGTCATGGGTTACATCGAGGAACATGGCATGGGCAATGGAGGGCATCAGCGGACGCAGACTGGGCTGAACAAAGGCTCCCACTGGCTCACCACCATAACGATAGACCAGTCGGCCCTCTTCGTGGCTGTCACCAGCTGACATGGCCTCTGTGGATGGGTGGGGGGTAAGGAAATGTTGATGAGACGGGGAGGACAGTTATCACATCAGAACTCACACCACTGCAGCAGGTGAGTTGAGCTTGGAGCAGTTCCGGACACATTCCAACCAGCTTTATCACACTTGCCTTTGAGAGCTTGTAGACGAAACAAGCCGACTGTTAGTAGATGCATTTAAGCTGCCAGTTAAACTTTCAACACATTTTTTATACCAACTGATCTGTGTCCATAGCACAGAGTATCAAAGCTGTCTGTTCAGTAAGTACTGACTGCTGACGGTCAATATGATTTGCAATCCGATTTTGGCATCTTATATAATATTTTTTGATGCAGTTTTAGAAACATTTATTGAGGCAAAGACGACATTTATCATTTGAGAATTTTGGCTACTTTTGTCAGAATAGAAAACGGGTTTTGTATCAGTGTGGAAACACAGGTATTGTATTGGCGCTAGTATTGTAAACTATAACCAGAGTTAAAATTACTGTTGAGTGCAAAAGTTTGTATCCCCTTACTTTGAAATGGCAAAAACAAACAAGGGGCGGGCAAGAGGCGAGATACACCCTGGACAGATCATCAGTCTATCGCAGGGCTCCCTACTCAAATCAAACCACAGATTTTCATTGATATTGTTGCTGAAAGAGGTGCTAGGAAACTTGCTCGAAGGTTACATAAGAACCCAAAACACACTGCAGGGGATCTGACAAAGTCCTTAGAGGCAACTGGAATTAGAGTCCACATCTCCACAGTCAAGCATAACCTGCACAAGTCTGGATTGTCTGGGAGAAAAGCACACAGGCAGCCATTGATCACTTACATAAGGCAACATGCTTGGAGTTTACTAAGGAGCAAGATTATGTGGTCTGATGAGACCAAAGTTTAATTATTTGCACAGGAATGTGTGGCAAGAAAAATACTGCCTATGAGGAGAGGAGCACCATTCCCACAGTCACTGAAAACCTGTGGATGGAACAAGTGTGCCATGAAGAATGGGCTAAAATTACACCAGATACAGGATTCAAACACTGCTCAGAGGGAACCCAAAGAGGTTGGAGGAGGTTAGGGAGGACATACAAAGTATTAGAGAACATTTCATAAAGGAGATTCAAACTTTAGCACTGATGTGATTTTTATTGTTTTACTATAACTTTCTTTTTATCCACTCCCTGAATATTTTTGTCACTTCTGTTGATGAAGGAACAGCTGTACCAGCTGAATGTGCGTTGAATATTATTTTGCCGAGAAAAGCTCTGTTTTACTCTTTTTGCCATTTCAAAGTAAGGAGATGCAAACCTTTGCACCCAACTGTATTATTATTCTCCACTTCAGTGATGGTACCAGAGATATACATTCAAGAAACCTGGCACGAGATACATATTTATATTTACCACCAAAACCTCTGGACTGTCTCCTCACTTTGATGTCTGACCGCACTGATACTCGACTTCACCAACATACAGTATGAACTGTGCTCACAGGTACAACTGGTCTGGAATATACTCGCTGTTTGGTTTTATGAATATGAAAATCACATGGCCTTCACAGACACCAATCTTTTGAAAGACTGCTGTTCATTTCTCCCCGAGTTCCACACACTGACAAGGAGCAACCAAGCTGCACTGGAGGCTTCTGGTGCATTGACACTTTACTAACACACTGCATGTTGATTTGTCACTCTATGTACACTAACTAATATACACAAGCAACATAAACACCTACCATAATATCCCCAAATGTCCATTTTATCAGTGTTAATGAACAGCTTCTATATGCATCTGTTTGTAGTGTGTGTGCATTTCAAAAGCATCCAGTACTGTACCTCGTATCAGTGATGAGATCCCTAGTTTGGTAACGAAGATATTATCCAGCTCCTCACTGCCAGTGAACAGTTCAGCCACCACATACAGGTTAGGACGCACTGTTCTGGCCGCGTCCAGCATAAACTGGTCAACCACAGCAGGGCAGCACACCGAAACCGAGCAGTCAGTGTAAGGAGGGAGGGAGAGGTTGGGTAGAAGGCAAGCAAAACAAAAGATTGGAAAAAGGGGAGGAAGAGCAGGAGGAGAGATGATATGAAGGGGATGCACACGGTTAATGGTAAAAGGCCTCAAAGTAACCACACCATGCAGTCCGAGAACAGAGCATGGGAATAAAGACAGGTAGAGAGAGTAGGTTTGGGTTAAAAGGGGGCAGGATGTGGAACAATGCAGCCAAGAGAGAAGGAAAAGACAAAAACACAAAGTTAGTTCATGCAATGACATATGTACCTCGTATAAGGCTGCTAATTCCAAGCCGGTTAACAAACACATTGTCAATGAGTTCGCTGCCTGTAAACAGTTCAGCTATCACATACAGATTGGGTCTGACCGCTCTGGCTGCATCTAGCATGGCCTAGACAAGACAATGTAGCAGCGTTACAGACAGGGAAAAAAGATATAAAGAGTGATGTTAACAGGGTTACACTTATATACAGTACAGTACCTCTATATGCTGATATACTACCTTAATACATACAGGAAGCCTGGCTTGACATTCGCTGACATAAAGCCAGTCTGCAATGACATTTTCTCCTCCTACTATTTACATTGTTACACTTCTCCTTACAATAACCATGTTTCAAGTATTCAGTGGTGCAGGACTGCATTCTACTGCAATGTGTTTCACATTAGTATTTTCGAGCCTTATCCTGGTTTTGATTGTACTCTGGACATGGCGTTTACAAGGAAGAGGATAAACCTGTTTTTTTGTTTCATTGTATATGTGCTTGTAACTGTACCCAGGTTTCTGATCCTGTAGGCAGCATGCCTTGAAACATCTCAGCCACTCATTTCTGTACAGTCTTAACCAACTTAAAGGTTTCAGATGTACCCTGTTCTGTTACTGTCACGCTGTTTACTGATTTCCATCTACTCCAGCCAACATATCAAGGTATGTGATGGATAGGATGTTTACATGTGCAACCCATAGTCAGGATTTTAAGTATGTGATTGAGCAAAATTATGCCTTTCAACACAACAAGACCAGATGGAACTACAGCCTCAAAAATGAGCACCAAGCTGAATCAACAATCTTTCTGCCAACAACTATTACTAATAAGTTTAACAAGGTAGTATTTATAACAAGAGTGCTGTACTGGATTGCATTACAATGTACAGGGATTTCATTTTACTGACCAATCACCATATTAATAATATAATCTATGACAATACCTCAGCTACATGTAACGGTGTAGAGTGGCAGTTATCCAGTCTGACTCCATGGAAATATTTGGCTGTGATTTCAGTGTATTTCTGCATATGGGCCCACAGGTATGGACAGTCTTCAGGTCCACTACCATAGCGGAGTTTGACACTGTCACCCCAGCAGATGAGCTCCCGGCGCAGGTACACATTAGAGCCTACAGGGAGCAAAAATACACATCCAAAACTGATGCAATAACTTACAAATTCAATTCTCAGATAGGTTAGACACGCAAGCTGTTTCATATTCTACTCATAAAGGAATGAGTAATTTGGTTGATGTTATATGTTTAAGCATTATTTAATATAGAAAATGAGGTTCCCTTTCCTAAATTGTTTTTTTATGCCTGTATATGTTTATTCCTCTATCTGCATTGTTTTTGTACCGGGCTGTTTTCTCTCTTTACCTGGCTCAGCAAAGTTGCGCAGTGGATCGTCACCCATCACCCAACCGTTGTGAGCCAGGAAGTGACACATCTTGTCTGGCTGGTCCAGCAGCTGCAACTCCTGCTGCAGAGTCATGTCCTGATATGGGAAGGTGAAATACCTGAGATACACAGAAGCAAAAACTGAGATCAACCAATGGTCCTTCCCACGTCAACCTCCACATTCGGAATGACTGTGAACCTCATACCCCTTTTATCTGGAAATTAGTCAGCATTGCCTTTTGGAATTAGTGTTTTTGCATTAATCAAACTGGTGCTTAGATTTCACAAGAGTAGGGGTGGATGAAAAGAGGCTTTCTGAACCACTGAATCAATATGAAGTGTTGAAAATGGTTTAGTATGTAACAGTCATAAATGGTGACATCTGCTGGTGAAGTCCTTGATACTGTAATTGTGTGGATGAAAATCTGAAACCACAAAGAAACAGTTAATCTGGATACAACTCATCTTAACACTTGTAGTTTTCTTCACCAAAGCCCGCATTAAGAAAACGGATCACGTTTGAACTGACACTACAGCTCTGTTTTTGAATACTGTGGCTTGAAACTAATTACTTTTCTCATTGTTAATGTCACTTGACACACTTGACTTGGTGTACACTAGGGCTGCATGATAAATCGTTTTGTGAGCATGATTTGGATCCCTGTGCAATCTCACATCTCATGTGACAATAATTCTGCCATCTTTGCAATAGCAGTGAGATACCCTGCATCAAAACATTCCTGCCATTTGTTAACACAAGGCTACTGTGAATGCTTTTACCCAACATGCAGCTCATATTTATAGTAAATCTGACCTAAATAGTATGAGGTGTCTTTATCTGGTCTTTGCAGACCTCCACTTCTCTTCCTTCTTGCATCTATCTATGCCATTATTTTTTCCTTTCTTTCACCTGATAACCAGAGGGTTCTTCTCGGTAACAGGACCCAGTTTGGGACCGTGGTCAGCCAGACGCTCGTACACTACGTTTCCCACTACGCAGTTGACAGCCTGGAGGGGAAAAGAATGAGAATATGATATTAAATGATGACCCTCAATTTTATGGAGGACCATTTTACCCAAATTTCAAAAGAAAATTAAAAATGAACATTTTGGAAAATACTTGGGGCATTTTTCAAATGGAAAGAAATAATCCTCCATACAATGTGAAAGTTATACTAAGGTCGTGTCTAGCTTGCGCAGCACATAACATCTCACATGCACCTCGCAGGAGGCTTGTGTTCAGGTATATAGAGGGTGTGTTCATTTGCACACAGGGAGTACTTAGTGCACAAAAACATAGAGAGGAGCCTACAGAAACACTTTGGAAAAGGGAAAACTACAGTCCAAAACTCTAAAAAAATAATAGACAATGAGGGAGTTATTGGCTACACTTGCATGTGTCTGTATTGCCCATGGTAACACCCAGCAAATAAAAAGCTGAACACACTTTAAAAAGAACTGCATGTTCAGTAGGATTGATGTAACAGATAACAGATCATGTTGAACTGTTTTTGCTTGATGTATTTCTCTGTTTTGGTGGAGTTCTGGTCATTGTCATTGCTTTCTGTGTCTTGGTGGATTCTGTGGAACGTTTTACACAAAAAATAGACCAGAAGCATAAGAACAGACTTTAGGTTGCAGCTATCCACATAAAGCGCGAGTGATAAGCCTGCCAACACGCAGGCAGTGCAGACAGCTGGACTGATTAGTATAGTAGTGTACTGGATCAGTTGCTGTCACTGCCAAAAACAGAATGTCATCTGCTTTGTGGTGTTGACATGAAAAGTGGCTGCACATATTAATCATTTAAAAAAACAAAATGAAAATGAATGAAAATTAAATGCTATTAAATATGTCATCAGTAAAAAAATGAAAATTTAATTGATGGGTAATAAATTATGAGGTGATTTTTTTTATAACCCTGTCTGTCATTTTGATGGACAATGAGAAAGTCCAGCGTGACCTCTGCGATACACTGTTAGAACGTTTGGAATATAAAAAGGTGAGAGCTGTGTCACTTCTATTTAATGTAGACCTTGATGAGTCTGACTTGGATAACGGGACCTCGACTCTGATTATTCTTTGGTGACTTGGACTCGAGACTCGAGTTGGACTCTAACAGAACACTGATAGGTGCCAGAAGCAGTAACCCCGCTAGATGCCACATTACACATAACCATACCTGCTCCTGATGATGCTGTATGATGCGGTACTGTTCTTCATTCATCTCAACTAGCTTCTGTCTCAGCAAATCACAGCACTCCTCGATGTGCTGTGGGGAGAAGCTATAGAAAAAGAGGTAAGGTGAAACAACGGATGGCATAGTGTCACATTTTATAAGAAGAAGAGGATGATGGAGTTAACTGAGTTAAATGTGAAACAAAGCTGAATGGATTTATCAGAAAGGAATCTTCAGTCTAAAATAATAAAGAAAGTGCTGTAGGCATTGTACCAAACATATGCTAGCCTCAATTTCAATTTTTATGAACTGAATTAAAAACAGAAAATATCTAGAAAACTTATCAGATATCTTTAGTGTTATGCATTGTTAGATTAACCTTTCAGCAGCTCAGAAAAAGAGACTTTTAATTCACTATACATGATGAAACAACCCCAACAAGCATTAAAATGGTGACTTCATACAAAAAAGGTTTAAACAATAACAGTAACAGCCTGTGGGTTTTGAGTCAAGACCTGTGAGGTACAAATGTCGCCAGAACAGAGTCCATGTCCACTGTGTTCCCATAACGATGGTATTGAGGGTCCTGGATTATTCGGAGACCCTGCTTTCCTCCAGTCTTACTATGATCTGGCTTGGTGCCTAAAAACAGATGGATGCAAATTATTTAGCCCTCTAGTGACTTTCTGACTGATGAGTGCAACCAGAGTGATCTGATCACTGAACAGATTAACATTAGAAAGCAGCTGATTTCCATTTAATCACTGTATTAAATATCTGCAGACACAATGATGACAAATAATACAGAAGTTTATCTGTCATCAGAATTTCTCAGTCATCCATCTGTTGCACTGCCGATGTGCTGATAGCTTGTTGGTTTACTGTTTACTTGCCCCTTGCATGGGGATATGTACATGCACATTGAGAGCCGAAGTACCAGAATCAAATTCCTCGTGTGTCCGACACACCTGGCCAATAAAGCTGATTCCAATTCTGGAAGCATTATAATGTATGCACTGATTTCTACTAATACTAATCTTCACTCATCTATGTACACACCATCTTGAAGTAGGATTCTGAACTGCTCCACAGCATTCTCCACTTTGACCTGGTAGAACTCCCACAGCTTGATTTGAGGAAACACATCCTGCGACAGCACACTACGGATGGCCTGATAAACACAAATTGACATACAGAAAGAGAGAAAGAAACAAACACAAAGTAAATAAACAGTCAATTACTCAGTCATTTTATCCTACTGTTTTACAGTAAGTTCTACTAAAAGCATTCAGTATTTCTAACATGGTCAATACCAAAAGAGTTGAACTGGACTGATACAGCTTCTCTGTTATTTGCCATGACTTTGAGGATATGCTGCAGACACATACATACACCTGCTCACACTTTATGAGTCTATAAGTGATGTTACTATTAACATATATTAACTCTGCTGAGGGTGGAGGTAATGTTTTTGTCAGTGTTTGTCTGTTCACAGCATAGCTCAAAATGAAATTAATGGATTTGAATGAAATTTTTTGGAGAGGTAGGGTACAGCCCGTGGAACAATTGATTAGATTTTGGTGTTAGATCATCTGGATCCAGGAAATTTTTTAAAGATTTTCACCATTGTGAGTGTTGGAAAGGTTGTTGACTGTATGTGAGCCTCCTTGTGGCCAAAGTGCATGGCTGTGCTGCTGAGCACTCCAAGCACATATGGAGACAAATCCCTGGGTTAGTGACAGCTGCCCATTCATTGGAAACCGAATGCTGTCACTCAGTATTCCCTGCTGTGTGAGACAAGGACTGAAGGAGCCCACCAAGGTGACAGCCCACAGCTGGGGAAAGCCATGATGACAGAGATTTTGAGCCAAGCTCAAAGCAGTTGTAATTTTCATTCGTAAGAACGTTATTAAGTTTTGACATTTTTTCAGGCAACAGAGTAACCACTTATATTGACTGCTGTCAGTCTATCCAGATATTTAGAAATTTGCTCCAATGTTTCCAGGCCAAGCTAGCAGGCAGCTACATCTCATTCAGAGCAGAGTAGTCGGGGAGAACATCAGTGTTCCAGCTGCACATTACGAGTACTGCATCCTCCCATCCTTGGGAGTTTGGGTTCAAGTTCTCACTACTACAATCACCTACTGCGATTATATACAAGCTGTGCATGAGAAAATGGAATAAAGCACATTTGTAGTAGAGCAAATACAGTATGTCTCATATGTGCAGCTCAATCAATCCAGCAAAAGTCAGCTACTTTGTCTCTGTATCTATGAATGTCCCATAATAAGTGTGGCAGAAGGCACTCCAGAAAATGTAGGGTTACATGCAGCCAAAATGGTGTTACCTGTGTTATGTCAGTCTGCATGGGACATTTGTTTAATCTCTTCTTTGCATTTACTAATCGTTCAAGTTGTTTTTCTTGAACAACTTTCAAAACTAATAGTGATATCAGTGTCCTTCCAAATGCCAGCAGTAGGTTTTCCATCCATCCATCCATCCATTTTCTTCCGCTTATCCAGAGCCGGGTCGCGGGGGCAGCAGTCTAAGCAAAGATGCCCAGACTTCCCTCTCTCCAGACACTTCCTCTTGCCCTTTCGGTCATGACCCAAAGTTCATGACCATAGGTGAGAGTTGGAACGTAGATTGACCAGTAAATCAAGAGCTTCGCCTTACGGCTCAGCTCCTTCTTCACCACGACGGATCGGTACATCAACCGCATTACTGCAGAAGCTGCACCGATCCGCCTGTCAATCTCCCGTTCCATCCTTCCCTCACTTGTGAACAAGACCCCAAGATACTTGAACTCCTCCACTTGAGGCAGGAACTCTCCACCAACCTGAAGGGAACAAGCCACCCTTTACCGACTGAGAACCATGGCCTCGGATTTGGAGGTGCTGATTCCCACCCCAGCCGCTTCACACTCGGCTGCAAACCGCCCCAGTGCAT